CAAGCAATTCCCTGAAAGAGCCAAATTCTTACGAGGATTTTGGTAGAGGCGTAGTTTTAAAGATTATGTTAAGAGTTGGCTTTCTGAAGCTAGTTTTAGCAATAGCTAGGCTGATTTGAAGTGCATTTGTTTAGAATATGTTCCTAAAAAAGTTGAACCAATGAAGTTAACAAACCTCTTGGGAAAATAGTTTCCGTGATAAGCTAGCTCACTGGAATAAAAGTTAATGGAAAACTGCTTGACTTTCAAGTAATTTCCAGCATAAAACACTATTTCATGGGGGAAAGGAACAGAAGGCAAGTCACATGAGAATTGTGAATTCTGTCTGTTCCTTCACAGTGCCTGGCACATAGTAGGTACTCATTAAAAATTTGTTGAATGAATGAATAAATAGGGGTAAAAATCTCAAAGAGTTATAAAGTTTGCCAAATATAGTTAGGAAAATAAAGGGGAATATAACCAAGACCCAGATATTTAAATAATTCCCAGCACCCATTACTGACCATTGATGTCAGGCCATCTGTGTAGGGCAGGGGCCTGACAGAGAGCAACTTGTCCAAGGTCACACACCAAGTTCATAACAAAGCAGGATCCAAAATCCAGGCTTCCTGAATCCTAATATAATCATCACCATACCAAGAATGCATAAATTAATACGTGGCTTAGGGCTTCCCTGGTGGCTCAGGTGGTAAAGAATCTGCCTGCGATGCAGGAGAGCCAGGTATGATTCCTGGGTAGGGAAGATCCTCTGGAGAAGGGAATGACAACCCACTCCAGTGTTCTTGCCTGGGAAATCCCATGGACAGAGGAGCCTGGTGGGCTATAGTCCATAGGGTCGCAAAGAGTTGGACATGATTGAGCGACGAACACAGGCCAAAGAGGGTGTTTATTCAGTTGATATAACGTCAAACTCATGACATCTATAGAGCAAAATTGCTGTAAGTTGCAGCAGGTGCACTGATCCTGGTGAGTTTATGATACCACGTTGGTCAAAATCTTCTTCTGTGTTTATTGAGAGAAGAAACAAGCCATGATGCTCCTTTTCTGCTTCCCAAGAAACACAGGTGACTGATCCCTCTGCACATGGTGGGATGAAAGAGCAGGCTTACTGGGCAGCAGCCCCCAAGGCTAGTCTGTAGGACTGTCTAAGTCCTGGGCGCCACTGACAGGATGGAGAAAGCTGTACTTAGAACGCTTCTCAGAGAGGGAGCCAGTTGTGTTGGAAGAATCAGTCTGATCAAGTCGCTCAACACCCCCATGTCATCTCCCTCCGCCTTCTCATCAAAGGGCAGAGTTAAGTCACAGTGGGTGATGCTGAAGTACTTTGCAGCAAGGATGTGAAAGATGGTCAGGCTGGAGTGGTGATTTCAGCCAGTGAGTGGACCTGAGGGAGCATGGCCACCAGGGAGCCTCCTCACGCCCCCTTTCGTAGCCCATTCCTCTAAGCAGTGCTGACAACATGTTAAAGAATCACTCCTTAATGATGCACTGGTTTCTGAAAGCTTCCAGGGTGTCCTGGACTGGCCCTATTATCACAGAGAGTCTGACTAACCACACCAATGATGGATGCATGAGTGTGGTCCAGTCCTGAAGCAGAGAAAGAATGACTTAGATCCCGAGGTCCTTTATAGTTGAAGATTCTAGGCCAATGATGGAAAACGCGATAAAAAAATTCTAATAACTCTCATAAAATATACCAAATGAAATTTTTTACAAAGCCCATCCCCCCGTAAAATTTTGGCTGCAATGTGTGCTAACAGTCAAGTTCAGCTCCATGCAATTCTTACAACAGAATTAACTGCCCAGCCCTAAAACAAAAGAGCCTGAATTGAAATCAGACTCCAGTGGTGCACTTAATTAGTCCTGTGAGCTTGCACTTGATATTTAATCCCTTTGAGACTCACTTTTCTCTTCTGTATAATTGCAGCAACAAAATTAATTGCTGGAAATTTAAATCAGATGGTGTCCTAAAAATACTGTCAGAGTGCGTGACACACAAGTACTCCATAGATATGAGTGAATTAATAACTAGTGCATTAATAAATGCTAGTGAATGTTACTAAGTAATAATCTGTAAGGCTTTATATGAAATCTTTATGAGGGTGATAACACATGAGAGATAGCTATTTGGCCTTGAGATCAGTGTATATGTGAAAAATTTATAGTCAATAAATAAATTTATTCACAAGAGATATATTCTTTTTTTTTTTCAAGAAAAAAAAATCCCAGAAGGAGTTAGTGAAAACTTGCTCAAGAATTCTTAATATAATCAAATGTAATATGAAATATATATCATGCACAAGCCCATATTGAATCTGTAAACTGAAATCTCACAAAATCCCACTGGGACTCTCCAGGGAGGAATAACAACCTTTAGTTAACTATTGCATCAAACTTTTCACTTTTCACTAACATCCTCCAAGAAAGTATCAATTCCTTGGAAACACAAAAAGAGTGTGCATATAATGTCAAAATATGTGCATAATATATATATGCACACCTGCATCTACACATACACAAATATATATAATTCCACATTGCATAGATATATTAAATTTTTGTGAAAATTACTTTAAATGTTCTGGCAAATTATGTGTGGCAGTAATTGTGTTCAGACTGCTTAGAAACACAGAAGCAACAGCAATTGTCGGGAAATCAAAGGACTGGTCCAGTTGACTGACACATTTCTCATGGAAACAAAAACTACACAGCAGAAGGAAGTGGTTATCTTGATCTTTCAAACTAACCCTGGTCTCCAGTCAGCAGTGCATTTGTTTTAGCAGGTGTTGGAAAATATCCATGGTGAACTGGGAAGGACACAGGATCAAGACTTGGAAAACTGGCCACGTAACTTAATTAAGAAAGTCAAGTAACTTTTCCGCAGTCCTAGTTTCCTCATCTGTATAATAGCTATAAAAATTCCACCCTGCTTATTTCAGGAGGACAATCTGGTCCACTCCCTCATTCCCCACATGAGAACACTGGGGAGTGAAGTGAATCCCTTAGGGTCACATAGCTGATTAGTGAGAGAATCAGGACTAGAAATAAGTCTTTTGAAGTCTTGGAGTTTCTGCAGTAACAAAGCTGCCATTGAAGCATCAGATAGGAAAGGGCTTTGAAGAATGTAATGTAAGGGTTTTCTTCAGTAGAAATCTTATGGATTTAAATCACAGTCAAGATCAACATAAAGCAATCAGTTCAGAGATGACTTTTAAGACTGTACCTGTATATTTAGCAACAGGCATCCTTTTTTAAAAATCAAATACAATCTGCATCTTTTCTCAACCAAGACACAAAATGTAAACAATTCCCTGAATTAATTCAGACCCTGAAGTGGATTTTCAATGACTTGACTTGCCCAAGCAAGCTCTCTGCAAAGCCTAAATTAATCAGATAATTGCCAATACTCCCTTTTGTTTTCTGTTGAAAAAGTGTGTGTTTGTTAGAATGAGCCTAGTAGCAGAATAATAGTCATTAAAAAAAAATTTTAAGTCCCAAATCGGAACTAAATGACCAAATTCTTAAGCACACTATTTCTTTAGGCATCTTCTCCAGTCATTAATTTAAAAGTTTAATTTTCTTTATCCTAATGTGAACATTATTGCTGTGGTTGTGATGTAAAGAGGACTTTTTCAGCAAACGAATGAAAAAAAAATCAACTTAAGCTGATCATTCAGGATTTTGTGAACATGCTTTGTCACATTGTCAGTAAAACAAAAATTTAAATGCCTCTCTTGGCATGACTAAAAAACAGGAGTTAAATCTTTTGAATTCTTACTGATACATCTTAAAAACAAAGCCAGTTTGGTATGGTTTTAAATAATCTCCACTTAACAGCTATCAGTTTTAAAATTAAGTAAACAATGCTAATTATGCTCCTTCAAACATCAAGAGGAAAATTTAGAAAGTAATTTAATTAATTGGCTCTGAAAAATTAATTACACATGAAATGAGGCTCATTAGGCCCTTCCTGTCTCATCAGAATTTCTGACTAAAAAATAACTGATCTCATCACTTATACTTGCTTTGTGAGATGGCATTAAATAGACTACCGTGATGATACATACTCTACCCAAGTAAAACTAAGACCAAAACATTAAAATGAGCTAATATGAACATGGTGCTCTTAAATTTCCACTGTGCATGCATGATCATTGAATTGACAAGTTAACTTGCAAATTCAGTACAGTCATATACTTTTTTGCCATGCTGAGTGTAAACTAAAGGGAAAATGGGACTAAAAATCGTTTAACATCATAACTGTTGATCACCCAGTTTTCATAAACAGTTGGCAAATTTTAACTCACAACAGCTGTCACTGCATTAAAAGTACATGTCAGTTTAGGAATATTAACCTCCGGGATGTGTCTGCACTTGAGGCTTGTGCAAAGGTTCCAGAAGATCACCAGAGGATTTTTTTTAAACCAAACTCAGCACAACCTAACCCTCCCTGTCTGACAATTCTTTAGTTTTACCCAGAAAAGGGCTTTAATCGTACTTGAATGGCTCTCCAGTGCTTCCTTGGAGGGGACATACCGCATAAGAAAACGTATTTCTTGGGTCGGCATCTTGGAGGTGAGAGAGTAAATTAAGAAACAGTGTTACCAGAGATGCAGTGCTCTTTCTATGAGAAAACAGAAAGCATTGGCATCCATGGAGTCCCTCCGCCTGTTTACTAAGTAAAGCAACTTGTAAATACTTAGAGCAATTACAGCCTGCAGACCTTGGGCTCTGCAGCGGCGGGGGAGATGGCTCAAGTTAGCTCCCTCCCCTTCGGTCCTGTTGGAACAACTCATTTCCAAGTAAAATGTGCGCGGCAGATTGCAAACCCTTTGTACAAACTACCAAACCGACCCCGGAGTATCGGATTTCCTTTCATCCACACACACACAGAGTACTGAAGGACAGAAATGCTCGTGGCCCCCTAGACTAAAACCCTCTTTTCTGAGAACATGCAGGAAAAGTGCACCGAAAGCCACAACAAACAGAAATCGCTGTACCTTCAACGTGCTGAAGTCTTTCCAAGGACTCACCACCCTTTTCGGCAACTGAGTTTCTCCTTGGCAGCCCTTCTGCGCCCAACTCTTGTACCTTCCGAAAAATGTATGTCGGCACAAGCCCAGACGAAACCTCCAACCAGGGAAAAGAAAATGAAGCCTGCAGATCAAAGGCAGACGAGCAGGGAGATGAAATGCCCGTAATCTGATCGGTGATCAGTTGCCGCACATCAAAGGCAGGCCAAGTTGCTATGTGTGCGTGTGTGTGTATGTGTGTGTGTATGTACGGTGGGGAGCGGACCCCCGAGCTGTGCTGGCTGCCAGAGACACAACCTTTATCTGCCCCTTTCTCGGAGGAACCGCGGTGCGTCCCGCAGAGCCGGCGTTCAGTCTCCAGGATGGTTCCAAGGAGCAGTGGGGACCCCGAAGGAGAGAGTGACCTCTCTCTTCAAAGGCTGTTCCGGCCTTCCCTGTGACCAGTCCTTACGGGTTTTGAGTAACCTGTCTTTTCCTTGAAACTTAAATTATTACACGTTGCAAATTAATCACCGGCGCTTTAATCAAAGTCATTAACGAGCAGATAACTAAGTTACCCAGTATTTTGATATCTCTCACCCTCTCACTTAAGCCACTGGGCCCGACACAGTTTTGATCTTAGTTTAGGATTCAAAAATTAGATTTTAAAACTACATGTACTTCTTAGATAGGTGTAATTCATTAACACCTATTGAGTATTTAAAATTCACAAAAGAAGGACTTCTGGTGGTCCAGTGGTTCCAAGTGCAGGGCACCTGGTTTGATCCCTGATGGGGGAACTAGATCTCACATAACTAAGGCCTGGCCCAGTCAATTAAATAAAATAAATAAATATTAAAAAATAAAATTCACAAAAATAAAGAAGGCTGTGTTCCTTGCCTTTTAGGGCCATTTCTCCTAAACCCATAGTTTGGACACTAAAAGTCATCACATTTAGTCTATTTATTCATATTTTAACCTGAAACTTACTACATATTATTTAGAATTGTCTGACTATCCATCCTGAACAACAGCAGATTCAATAAAATAAGTTTATTTTTAGTATTTATCAAAATAGAAAATAATTTCAAAATTTCATCTTACAATCCAGGATACAGTGCATTTCTGAATTCCAGGCCACTCTTCTATGGCCTGAAGGAAATTTTTCTGTTTTCTAATGGCGACTTGCCAACCTTTAGAAGTCAGTTAAAAATATTTTGTAAAACTTAGAAGACAATAGAATTTAATTTATATACGTTATAAACTCCTCTTCCTAATTAGTTTCATCTAATTCTTTCCTCATGTGATTTTTGAAAATGTAGTTTATGGTGTGTTTATTTCCAGATGTCTGGGATTCTCAAACAAATTTTGATAGCAAAATTTTTGGTTTCCACAGTTGAGTTCAGTATTTAACATTTAAGTAATCATTTCCCCCAGCATTTCTTGTATAATTTTCCTCCCCCACAGGTCATTTCTCGAAGATGCTTAGAGCTCAGATAGTATATGATCAAGGTATGATTTCCTATGACTTCTCAAAAGTAACCAGGAAAACTCCTGTGATACTTGGACTCCAGGTAACATTACAGAGAATACCAAAAAGGACAAAATATTTCCCAGTGGCCATGTGTTCATTTCTTCTCTGAGGTAACCCAGCCTTGCCCCTAGTGTGAAATCCATATTCCACCAAGCAGCGCTCAGAGGTTATGTTTCCTGATACACCAACATATTAATTTATGAGCCCTAGATGCGAAGGAGACGAGGGTTCGTTCAGGAAGATCCCCCTGAGGAGGAAATGGCAACCCACTCCAGTATTCTTGTCTGGGAAATTCCATGGTCAGAGGAGCCTGGAGGGCTACAGTCCATGGGGTTGCAGAGAGTCGGACACGACTGAGCAACTGACCATACATAGACACACACAGATGCTCTGTGAGGCTCTTCAGATAAGCATGTAAAATCCTAATGTATCGATAGAGTTCAACACCAGTGGAAATTGGGTGAGGGGCCGAGTCAGGATTCTGACACTTCCACTGGAACCTGGCAGGATGCATTTGAAAGCAGGGACTTAAGTGAAAACCACTCAAGTGATCCTACATTTACACGAACCTCACCCAAGGAAAATCTGTAGTTCAGAGTATGTCTAGAAATGTGATGATGATGACGCAATGGTGCGTGCACACCCAGTTGTGTCTGGCTCTTTGCAACTCCAGGCACTGTGACCCACCAGGCTCCTCTGTCCATGGGATTCTCCAGGCAGGAATACTGGAGTGGGTTGCCATGCCCTTCTCCAGGGGATCTTCCCAACTCAGGGACCGAACCCAGGTCTCCCACATTTCAGGTGGATTATTTACCTCTGAGCCACCAGGGAAGCCTAGCAATGTGATATCATCTCCAAAGGAGGAGTTTATTCACCCAGTGGCTGAGAATTATTTTGAGTTGCGTCTCTTGTGGCCGAGAGCCCCCCCACATGTGAGACGACAGGAAGCGAGGTTAGGACCACCTATGTCACCTGGAGCAGAGTGTGGCTGAAGGCCGCCTGGAACGAGACTTGACCTCCTGACCCAGCCCACAAGGGCTGTGCCCACGGAGCCTCCTGCAATGTGGAGACGTGGCCACACCGTGGTTGCTTCTGCAGGGCTCCATGAAGGGGAGCTCCTGCACAGCTTTCCTCTCTCCCCTCTGGGAATCTTAGATTTGAGAAATTAAGTCATTTGCTAAGACATTAAGAAATACGTCAGCCGCCACTCTGTTATGATCCGGTTGAACAATACTGAATTGAAGTCTTTTATTTCTGATCCCTAGAGCCACGTCCTGCATAGACGGCATATCTCGTTCTCCTCCCCACGTCCTGTCTCCACCACCTGGCTGTGTCGTGGGTCTGGACCAATACTGACACATTATTATTATTATGTAAGATGTATTTATTTGTTGGCTGTGGTGGGTCTTCATTGCTGCACATGGGCTTTCTCTAGTTGCGGCGAGCGGGGCTACTCTATGTTGCCACGCGTGGGTTTTCTCACTGCAGTGGCTTCTCTGGTTGCAGAGCGCAGGCTCTGGGAGTGCAGACTTCAGCAGTGGCAGCGCATGGGCTCAGTAGTTGTGGCACATGGGCTTAGCCGCTCTGTGGCATGTGGGATCTTCCCTGAGCAGGGATTGAACCAGTGTCCCCCACATTGCAAGGCAGATTCTCAACCACTGGACCACCAGGGAAGACCTGATACATTTTATTAGCTGAAATCCCTACTTCACATTAAAGGCCATTCATTGTGTTGTACAGTTCTTACAGATTTTAACAAAGGCATAGTATCCTGTTTCAGTCGGAATAATTTCACTGCCATTACAGAATTGTACAAAGAAGTTGTATAGATTTTGACAAATGCAATGTCCTATCTCATACATAGAATTCTGATTGAGAGTCCATTGAACCTTTAGATCACACTGGGAAAAGCTGACATCTTAACAGTGGATCTCCCTATTCAAGGACTTAGAATATCTCTCCATTCGTTTAGATCTTCTTTGAATTCTTTGATCAGAGTTTTGTACTTTTCCTCGTACATATAATACATTTGAAAAGTTTTATACCTAAATATTTTAGTTTTGGGGGGTAGATTGTTAAGATAAATGACATTGTGTTTATAATTTCAAGTTTCAGTTGTTCAGTGGTTGTATATAGGAGCCCAGTTGACTTTTGTGTATTATATCCTGCAACCTTGCTCTTATCACTTACTTGTTCCAGGAATTTTTTCCATCATTTATTTGAGTCAGTTCTTTGGGATTGTCTATAATAATCATGACATCTGTAAACAGAAAAAAATTTAATTTCTTCCTTCTCAATCTGTTGACTAAGAAATTGTAAATGTGTATTGCAAGCTCTAGGTGCATATGTGCATACTGAGTCACCTAAGTCATGTCCAACTCTTTGTGACCCCATGGACTGTAGCCCTCAAGGCTTTTCTATCCATGGGCTTCTCCAGGCACGAACACTGGAGTGGGTAGCCATTTCCTCCTCCAGTGGATCTCCCCAACCCAGGTATGAAACCCATGGTCTCCTGCATTGGCAGGCGGATTCTTTATCACTAGTGCCACCTGGAAACTTTCCTTTTCTCTGAAGAATTTTTTGATGATTTTTTGCTTTTCCTTTCAACATTTTCAATATTTCACCCTACTCTCTTTTTGCTTTCATAGTTTCTTATCAAGAATCTGATGCAATTCTTATCCTTGTTACTTGATAAGGAAAGTGTTTTTGCTTTGATTTTTGTTTTTAGATGTCAAGATGTCTTTTGTTTTCTGTGGTTTAAACAGGATATGCCTACACGTAGGTTTTTTTGTGTTTATCCTGACTGGTAGATTCTGAATTTCCTGGATCTATGGTTTGGTGTTTTTCATTAATTTTGGACAATGGTTATTATTTATTTAAAATATTTCTCCTGTTCCTTTCTTTCTTTCTTCTACTGACATTCTCATCACTAGTGTGTTATGCCTTTTGTAATTATCCCACAAGATTTTCTTCATTTTTTTCTTTGCATTTTCACTTGGAAGTTTCTACTGATATTTCTTCAAGTTCATTGATTGTTTCCTTCACTGTGTCCTGCGTATTGATGAGCCTACTGAAGGCATTCTTCATTTTGGTTACAAAGTCTTTGATTTCTAGCATTTCTTTTTTATTTTCTGTTTTATTTTAAATTTACTTTTAAGATATTTGTTTGACTTGCATGGGATCTTAGTTGCAGCAAATGGGATCTTCACTGCATCATGTGAAACCTTTTGTTGCAATGCATGGACTCTCTCGTTCTGGTGTGCAGGCTTCAGCAGTTGTGGCACATGGGCTTCTTAGTTGCTCTGCAGCATGTGGAACCCTAGTTCGGTAACCAGGGATTGAACCACATCCCCTGCATTGCAAGATGGATTCTTAACCACTGGACCACCAGGAAAGTCCCTTTCTCTTTTAGAGTTTCCATCTCTCTGCTTACATCTGTTCTTATCTCCTTTTTCCATCAGAGCCCTTAATATCTTCATCACGTGTTAAGTCACTTCAGTCGTGTCCAACTCTTTGCTACCCAATGGACTATAGCCCACCAGGCTCCTCTGTCCATGGCATTCTCTAGGCAAGACTACTGGAGTGGGTTGCTGTGCCCTTCTCCAGGGGTCTTCCCAATCCATTGATCAAACCCATGTCTCTTACATCTGCTGCATTGGCAGGTGAGATCATTACCAGTAGCACCACCTGGGAAGCCCATATTAATCACAGTTAGTTTAAA